CAATTCAAGATGTATCAGAAACCTAGGAATTAGACCAGACACTCTTCATAATCTAGAAGAAAAAGTCTGCTTAGGAACCGATTCCTCAACAAGATTCCTAAAGCACAAGAATTAAAAACAAGAATCAATAAAGGGAATGCTATCAAACTAAAAACTTCTTCACAGCAGAGGAAACAATCAAGAATGTGATGAGAGCCTGAAGAATGGGAGAAAACTTTGTCAACCACACCTCAGACAAGGCGTTAATTTCCTGGATGTATGAAGAATTAAAAAATCTCAACACCAAAAGAATGAATAACCCCATCAATAAGTGGGCAAAAGAACTAAACAGACATTATCAAAAGAAGAAATATAAAGGTCAAAAAATATATGAAAAAATGTTCAACATCTCTAGAAATTACAGAAATGCAAAATAAAACTATGCTGAGATTATATCTCCAATCAGAATGGCAACTGTCATGACTATAAGTAACAATGAATGTTGGCAAGTATGTGGGTAAAAGGGAACATTTGCACATTGTTGGCTACACTTCAAAATAATGCAACCACTCTGGAACACAGTACAGAGATTCCTCATGAAGTAGCAATTGAGCCACCATTTGACCCAGTTATCTCACTTCTTGTTATATATCCAAAGACTTAATGTCAGCCTACTACATTGATGCAACCACATCATTGCTTGTACCAGTACAATGCACAATAGCTAAGCTATGGAACCAACCTAGATGCTAATCAATTGATGAATGGATAAAAAAATTGTGAGATATATCCATATATATGTATTTATATAACATATATATATATTATATATATATATATGACTTTATGATATTTGCTGGTAAAGGAATAGATCTGGAGACTGTCTTGTTAAGTGAAATAAGCCAATGCCCAAAAACCAAAGGTTGAATGTTCTCTCTGATATGTGAAAAGCAAGAATAGAAGTTCAATGGATTAGAAATGGGGAATGAAGGGAAGGAAGGCGGGTAGAAATAGGAAAGACAGTGGAATTAATATGACATAGTTTTCCTATGTACATATGAATACACTACAATGAATCTCACTATCATGTACATCCACAAGACTGGGATCCTAATTATAATAAGATATATTTCATGCTTATATCAGTATATCAAAATAGATTCTACTGTAATGTATAACTAAAGAGCAAATAAAAATTTCAAAAAAAAACTGAGGAGAAAAGGAAATAAAGAAGAGAAAGGATAGGAGTACATTTGAGAATGAGTACAAAGCTACAAATACCAAAGAGATAATGCAAGTATTAACTAAACAGAAATATGACACATAATGTGTGGAAACTGAATCAAAATGTTACAGAAAGCAAGATCAAAAACTAAAAGTTTAACATTGCTCCTTACTGATGTAAACATTTTTCTGAGTCTTGTAATTTTATAATCCACCATTGGAAGGAGATTTCATGGGAGTGATTGCATGTCAATATGTTCCTTTCTATCACCAGACTGAATAGGTTAACCCTGGTA